TTCGCCGCGGCGTCGCATCGTCTCGCTGGCAGACGTCCCTCTCTCACCACGCAAACACACGCACGCGCACGCGCATGGTGGTGATGAACAGCCACAGCAACGGGGGCAGCAACAGCAGCAGAAGGTGCAGAAGGGTCACAAGGGTCACGATCACAGCCATAATGGCAATCACCACCGACCACGTCACCAACGCCGCATGGATGTGTTCCGGAATGCACATCCGCACGTCCGCACTGAACGCGCTCTCAACAAGGTGCAGCAGTGTGTGTGTGTGTGTGTGTGTGTGTGTGTGTGTGTGTGTGTGTGTGTGTGTGTCGGGAAAGCGTAGTTGATGCTTGTGTGTGCGTTGCATGAACCAGTGTCCTGTGCTGTGTTCACGTCCACTTGCTCACACTTGTGCCCCATCCCCTCGACACCTCACCTTTCCTGTTCTTCCCTCCAAACAACAGGACGCGGCACCCGGTGGCGAAATGTTCCGACCAATCCGGACAGTTCCTGTTTCTTCATTTGGAGGCGGACACCACCACCACCACCACCACCACCACTCACGTCCGTCCACAGTGACGCCCCGCCCACCAGCGACGCTTCGCCGCGGCCGACCGACCACGCAGACGTACGTGTGCATATGTGTGTGTGTGTGTGTGTGTGTGTGTGTGTGTGTGTGTGTGTGTGTGTGTGTGTGTGTGTGTGTGTGTGTGTGTCTGTGTGTGTGTGTGTGTGTCTGTGTGTGTGTGTGTGTGTCTGTAGGTATGTGTGCATGTGTGTGTCTTTGCTGGACAATGCGCACCTCTCTCCTCAGGTGCACACCACCACCACCTTCACACTACACCACCACTGCACTGCACCACCACCATCATCATCACCACCACCTCAACCTCCACCTTGCCATCATCATCATCATCATCATCATCATCACTTGCAGCCCGACCGCGCCTGCCGGTGCGCGTGTGTCCTCGCTCGAATTCGTGCGGAGGGCGTCATCGCGATTCGTTGTTCTCCTTCCCGGGCACCACACCGGTGGCACGGATACAGACGTGCTCGAGCATGACACGACACTGCACCACAACGATGGTCATGGTCATGGTGGTCATGGTGGTCATGGTGGCGATGATGGGAGTCGTGGTGATAGCGGCACGAGTAGCGGTGGAAGCATGCACGGTGCAGCGACAGCCGATGCTGGCAGTGGTGGTGGGTATGGTGACGTGCGCAAGGGGGCAGCAGCGCTTGCAGCAATACACAAACCAACGGCTGTGCTGCCAAAGCCAACAACCCATCATCACCACCAGCACCACGACAACAACAACAAGAGCAACCGCAACAACAAGAGCAACAGCAACGCTGACGGAAGCAACAACAGCAGCAACCATACCACCACTACCACCACTGCCGCTGCTGCTGCTGCCATCACCCTGACCCCTGCGCGTGGCGGCGTGTCGCGTCGTGCGTCGATGCGGGATGAACTGAAGCAGCAGCAGAAGCGCTTGGACGCGTGGATGGCAGAGGATCCAGGCAACATTGTGTAGATATCGTGATGTGTGTGTGATGTGTGTGTGTGTTGTGTGTGTGTGTGTGTGTGTGTGTGTGTGTGTGTGTGTGTGTGTGTGTGCAGAGAATGCGTGATGCAGCGAGAGATATTTTTGTGCACTTCTTCTTCTTCTTTCTTGTGCTCGTTTGTACATGTGTCTGCTGACCTCGTGTGCGATGTGTGTGCGACCCTCTGGTAGTGGCTGGGCCACGAAGTAAACAAACCAACTTGTGCACTTGGCGGTGATTTGAGTGTACTTCTTGCATGCAGCTTAGTGTACTTCTTGCATGCAGCTTGATGACACGTTCGAGAAAGCAAAACAGACGGAGAAAGCAGGGGGCCAGTGTGCACAGATGGAACAATGAACGAACAGGAAGCGGCGAACGAATGTGTGAGAGTGCAACGAGAGAACACGGGCGAAAATGACGAAAGAAAGGCGTTGTAATGTGATGTGACGTGATTGCATGGAAGAAATGGCGTTTCAATTGTGGTCGGCTGTGGTGGTGGTGGTGGTGGTTGTAGGGAGGAATCAGGCTGCGGCCTTCTTTGTCTTGCTGCGCGTCTTGCGAGCGCTCTTGGGAGTGGCGGCTGAACCATGGGCGACAAAGAACAGAAGAGACGTGATTGGAGGATTGGAGGGTACACGTGAACGACACGGAAGTGACGAAAACGGAAGTGAACGGAAGCCGAAGTGGCCAACACGGCAGCAAGCAAACACAGCACCTGCTCCCACATGCTGCAAGGACACACACACACACACGACGAGTGCTCACCCTTTGAGTGCTTGCCGCGGCCGATGTTGCGCTGCCCGAGACTCGACGGGACCTTTGGCTTTGGCGTCGCCGGCGTAGAGCTGCCGCCCGTGCTGCAGAGATGATGTGTGTGTGTGTGTGTGTGTGTGTGTGTGTGTGTGTGTGTGTGTGTGTGTGTGTGTGTGTGTGTGTGTGTGTGTGTGTGTGTGTGTGTGTGTGTGTC